AAGAATTTTATGACAAGGAGATAGTATATAGTACAACTATTACAATTATATAGAGTAATTATTGGTATATTTGACTCTAAGGATGTTTTTACTTTGACTTTTTTCAATCTCAGACCAGACTATATCAGACTAGACTGGACTTAAACAGACAAGATCAGACCATATCAGACCAGACTTTTGATAGTTATAAAAGGGAAAATTCCCAAAATAGGAGTGAAAAGGTTTGAAACTTCCAAAATAGGACCGACATGTTTTTATTCCCAAAATATGAGTAATTATGTCAAGTTTGGAAAATAATGTCATGTTTAAAGTCAGGTATTGCCAAAACATGGTAGTAAGTAGGATGTTTTACTCAGAGCCGGCTATAATAGGAGTTAACCAAGGCAGCTGCCTAGGGCCTCCATTTTTGGAGGGGCCCCATATTTGAGAAAGTAACCTATTAGTAAGGATATGTTCGGCTCTTCACTGCTTCATATCAACCTCTCACACACGAGTAGAGGATAAAAACCTCATGCGAAAAGATTAAATGAAAAAAATACTCCGTATAGCTAGTTTAGACAAGTTTCGGTGTTTGGCAGTTATCCCGACTTTAATTTTATCTTGCTTTGATTTATTTTGTCAATAGCTGCTTGGTTGCATTTTTTTATCAGAAATTGACTCATATAGGAGTAAAAGTATAGCAAAAATCCAAAAGGGGAGTACTGTTGTTTTTTTCCCAAAATAAGAGCTCTTTCCTCCTACACTGAAACATACGTACACATCCATTCCGAACTTACCCCTGCGTTGTTTACGCACACTACTTTGGCTAACCGTTTTTTTCTTCGTTTCCGTATGTAGTTACTCCATGACTGTTACGCAAGTCTCTCGCAAGTCTCTCTTCAACCGTTTCTTCCGCTTTGTTTCCTTTCATACGAAGACAATTCTCTGCAAATCATACCAAACCCAAATTCCCTGCATCTTTTCTTCTTGGAACGCTATCCCTGCTTCGTTTAACGCTTACACTCAATCTGGTAAAACTCACTCTTTGTATTTTTCTAAACTTCCACAATCACTTCTTGCACTTTCTATACTTTCTACTCTATTAATTTTCATTTAATACTTGTTTTCCAATGAATTTTTCCACATTCGATGTTTGTAATTTTAGATAACATTGTTGTTGTTCTGTATTTTCATCTTTTGCTCTCTTCTTCCTCCACTTTAAGTTCACTATCCATTGTTTATTGCTGAAACTCCACTTTTTTTTGTACAAACACATTCAGTTATTCAGTGTTTCAGTTATTCTGCATCAATATTTGTATGCTGCGCCTACCAATATGCTTCTGATTCTGCCACATTCACCTTTTATGTTGTGTGATTCATGATTTTTTGCCATTAGTATGTCAATTCCCGTAACATGAATATGTAGTTTCATTCAAATTATGAGTCAATATCATTTTTAACCTTGTTATTTTTCGTTTTTGTTTTGTAGTTATCCATATGGATCCAGTTGTTTTAATCATGTTGAATTTAGATGGTAGCTGGGACAGTGATTACAATTTTAATTGTAATGACAAATTTGGTATGCACATCCGTTATTCTGCCAAATTTGGTGATTTTGTGTCTGAACTTTCTTCGATACTAATTAAATACAAGTCTCATAACCATTTCTCATTGTCTTATATGGTTAATCAATGTCCTCCACCGGTATGTATCCATGATGAGGAAAGCTTCCGTTTCTTCCTTGACCTTAAGCTTCTTCAATCTGATATTCACAAATACCCGTTGTGTGTGGAATTTCCAAGCGATATTGCCTATCCGCGCATCGCTTCTGTATCACACGGCGATGTGTTTCACAGTCCTGTTTCATCACAAGAAACATGTCCTAATCCTCACCATTCTGCCATTACGACCAACTCTAAAGAGGGTAATTATTCCAATGGTGATGACCATGTACAGAATGCTACAGACTGCATTCCTCTTGCTGAATGCAATTATGATTCCTATTCAAGCCCCTGTTCTGACTCTATATGTCCTCCATCACCTCGTTCCCATTCATCTTCTTCTGAGATATATTCTCTTCATCAAAATTCGGAAGTCATCACTCATTATCATCCCACTCAGATAACTGTCGACGGTATTTATCAGTCTAAGGCAGACCTTATCCACCACTTAATGTTGTATGCCATAGATAATGGTTTTCAATACACAACACGCACATCAAAGAAAATTGAGTTGCACGTTGTTTGTAAAGGTGAGGAATGCAAATGGGCTGTGAGGGCAGTTAAGCTACGTGGGGTCCAAATGTTTCAAATCAGAAGGTATGTTTCCATCATTTTTTTTAGTAATCGGATGAAATAATTGTAGTATATTATTCCATATCAGTGGCAAATTATTCCAAGTCTGGGCAGTTTGTTCATTATGTGCTTTGAAACTTGTTACAGGTTTGATTCATCCCACACATGTTCGGTCGATTACAGGCAAGGGAAGCATCGCCAAGCAACATACCGCACTGTTGCAGAACTCATTTCCCATAAGTACTTGGATGCTTCTAGAAAACCATATAATCCAAATCAGATACGTGATGACATGAGGCTCATGCATGGCATCTCCATGTCATACAAGAAGGCATGGAAAGCTCAAAAGTTGGCAATGCAAAAGCAATTCGGATCAGATGCTGAGTCTTATCAGATTTTACCTTCGATGGCGCATATGCTCAAGAATGCCAATCCAGGTTCATTTGTGGATGTTACAACAGACGATAATGACGTGTTTCGTTATTTTTTCATGTCACTTGCACCTTGGAGGGATGCATGGAATTTTTGCAGGCCTATTCTAATTGTAGATGGATCGTTTATGAAGGCGTACTACAAAGGAACACTTCTAACGGCTTGTGCACAGGATGCTAACAATCACATCGTCCCTTTGGCGTTTGGAATTTGTGACACCGAGTCTAAAGCGTCTTGGGTTTGGTTTTTTTCAAAAGTGGCTGAATCACTAACATTTCGTGAGGATATGTACATTATATATGACAGGCATGAAGGTATACTCAGTGCTGCTAAACAGATTTTCCCCCATGCTGGCCATGGCTTTTGTGTTGAGCACCTTCGGCGTAATATGGTATCCAAATTCAGGGGGAATGCCACTGACTTAGGTTGGAAATTCAAGGCTGCATATAACGCTTCAACAATCAAGGAATATGAAGAGTATATGGCACTGATGGATTCTCAAGACGTTCGCATACGACCTTGGCTAGAAAAAATTGGTCCTCATAAATGGGCAAAGTGTATGAGTGGGCCACGGCGGTACGATGTGATGACCTCAAATTGTGCAGAGTCAATGAACAATGTCAGTGTTTGTGCAAGGGAGTATTCTGTTTCCAAACTTATTGACTTTCTTAGGGAACGAATGCAAAAGTGGTTTGTTGAAAGAAAGGAAAAAGCTGAAAAGAAACGGGAGAAGCATCTGGTTGCGGTTCAAAGTCAAGCTGCTAAGTTGAAGGTTTTTATTTAATCTCTATGTGCTAAACATTTAATCCACAATATTCTCCCTATTTTAATTTAATTTAAAAATTGCACAACATTCAGGTTGTTTCATTTTCATATAATTATTCCACATACTTGGCATTTCTTCCAAGTCTGCCATAACAGTCCCACTACAAACCTTCTACTCCATCACATTCATTTACTGAAACTTTCAAACTACTAATGCCATTCCATTATAATTTCAGGTCAAGCCTACATCATATTTTGAGTTTGAAGTTGTTGATAGGCATTGTCGCTCCTTTGTAGTTGACCTTCAAGCTCGAACATGCACATGTGGAGCGTTTCAACTTAATCACTTTGTTTGTGTCCATGCGGTTGCTGCCATTGGTCTCCGCCTACGTGAATCTTGTTATGATTACATTTCCAAGTATTACACACGGCAATTTTGGCTTTCCACGTGGAACGGTGTTATGCACCCTGTATGTGATAGAGATTCTTGGGTGGTGCCTCCCCATATAGCCAGTATTCGATGTAAACCCCCATCATGTATGAAAAGACCCCCTGGTCGTCCGAGGAAGTCAAGGATACCTTCAGTTGGTGAGCATCGTGGGACAAAACGCCAAAGATGTTCTAGGTGCCACATCGTTGGTCATAATAAGAAGACTTGTTGCAATCCAATTCCGACAATAACTCATTAGTCATAATTTTATATTTGTTCCTATTTCAGTTTTCAGTCTTATGAACACGATTGAACTTATTGCTTTCAAAGTATTTATTCATAGACATGTCCTTGTTAATGCAAAAAAAACCAATTACTAGTTACTTCATGTCTTCATGTAATGTGTCTTCCATTTACTCTGCAATGCTAAATTCCATTTTTTTCAAGCAATTAATTGAACTAACGTTGGTTATGGGAATATACAGTTTGTAGTGTGATACATAAACCATGTATATTTCAGATTTATTTTCCATGTTATTAGCATATTTATATACCAAGAAACATTGACATGCATTTTTCAACATAATCCAACCTATAATTATGTCTTCTGGCGTTCACCATTTTATGTAATAATCTGATAATCATAGCATCTTTGGTTTATGTTGTTTGTTTTACTATTTTAATGCCACTTCCACATGTCCTTGAAAATTATTTCACTAGTTCCACAAATTAGGCATTTGCCACAACATTTCGCACTCAATCTTCATATACTGCTAATTACTTGAACGTTCCAACCACAATTAATGTCAAATACAAACATATTGCCTCCATTCTACCCACATTATGCCATCACAATTCATTAAAATCCTACCATTACATTCATTAGAAATCTAATACCAGTAATACTTAATTAACCATAGTGCAATTCCACCAAGTCATAACAGATATATAAATAAGCGTAACATTAAACCAAACCTTAAACCAAACCTTAAACCAAAATTATAAAAACCACAAGTCCTAGCTTAATACCAAAATGATAAAAAACACAACTTTTCCATTTTGTTTTTTTAAATAAAATGCACTAGCTTATGTCTGCTCTCTAGCTTTTTTCGTCATTCAGCTCCTCTGTTCTCTTCTTGCTGTACAAGATGAGCTCTGTTGTCATTTTCTCCCTATACATCGTCATGTCCTCTGCATCTATTTCCTCAATATCCATGCCCATGATCAAGAACTCTGCAATCTTCAACACAAACATACCGCAGTTTCCCCTGCCATGAATCAACACCATATAAATAACTATTCAATTAAAATATAATGTTCAGATTACTCTATAATGTTCATATCTCCAACAACAAATATGTCTTACCCATCATTTTGTTGTGGACATTCTTGTACACCTTCCACCTCTATTTTTCTCTCTCTCATTGGTTCCTCTCTGATGTCTTCGTACACTTTGTGCACATCCATGATCTTCGGGAGCAAGCACTGGAGACTTGGAAGATGTTGCCTGACTTCCCTTATAGCTTCCCCTCTTCTGCTCATAGAATTATACACCTTGATCTTTCTCTGTTTGACCTCCAACACAAGCAACACCCAATGATGTCCGGTGTTTAGGGGCATATACACGAAGTCCGATTCTGCCCAGCTCAGTGCATATGTGGCTGAACTGCCTACAATATGGCTCTCTATTACAGGCATTTCAGCTGCCTTTTCAAGACTTGACTGTGAGGTCTTAATTTTTTCATGCTCACGCTGAAGGGCTTGTAAGAAATAGGGGCTGCATGTAGAATACGGGAACTGGAGCTTATACTGAAATTGTTTCATCCCCAGGTAGAACATTCCTACTTCAATATGCTGCACAGAACACCGCAAGTCATTATAAACCACTACAAACGAAAATTACATGATTATTACATATAAACAGAAAAGTGAGGTTCAAACACACCGTTGCATCAAGCCATTCTGGGTTCACAAACAGCTTGTAGAGCCATGTCTTATACTCTATTTTTACATTGTCCAATAACATCGGCAGACCATTCATGGTTTCATGATCCTTTCTGTATTTATTGTCACCATTTTTCTTATTCTTCCGTTTCAATAATCCTGTTTTCAGAAACTCCCGCACCTTCTCTATTTCTTCTGCCGGTGGTGGCTCACTTGGATCCTCTCCAAATGGACCATAATTTTTTGGCTTGAAAAAGCACTGGTCTTCCCTTTTTTGGCAATTACTTTCCTCCTCCTCTTTCTTGCCTCACCCTGTTCAGCAGGTGTGTATCTATCAGGTGATCGTGCAACCCGCTTTGCTCTTGTATGCTCCACTAAGATTTCATGTACCTTTTTAAAAAAAACCACAAAAACATATTACAATCTTATAAAAATAACTCAAACACTCACATGTTTTTCATTTGTTAAATCTCTCACCTGTTCTGCCTCCTGGTCACATTCCATGTTCTGTCCTTCCTGCACTTAAATTCATGCATGCTTATTTTTCAATCGCATTTTACAGTACCAAAGATATGTTATTAAATATATTACCTCATCGCTCGTTGAACGCATTGCCCTGGTTCCCTTACTTGCATCTGTTCCTAACACTTGTTTCTCAACAGTATCCACGTTTCTGATCAGTTCCTTCACGAACTGGGTGTCCTCAACTTCCCAAAAGTCTGTTGTTTTCACCTCACTAATTTCCTTAGCCTCTCCTTTTTCATTTTGATTTTCTGTGTCACATATCTCGACGTCATCTCCTAGTTGTTTACCATCATCACACTTGTCTGCCTCTGCCTCCTTTCTTTCCCCATCAGCTTCTTCCCCTTCTTTATCGTCTACCACTCCATCTTCCTTTTCTTCTCTATTCGCTTCACTCACATCCTCCTGTCTTTCATCACACATTTTCTGTTGAGTCTCTGCCCCAAATATGTTGAAATTTGGCATCTCCACTCCTTCATCGTGCTCGGTCTCCACAAGATCTGCTTTTGCACTCTTTTCTTGTTGGTTGTGTTGTAACACAACATTTGTATTCTTTTCAGGGCCATGAACTTCATCCCTAATTTCTTCACCTTGTCCCTCCTGCTTTGTAGTCATCTTCCTTAGCTGTGAAAGTATTTCCCCCAGTTTTTTGTCTTGACTTTTTTGATTTTTGCTCACTTCTTTGAGTTCTGCCATGATCTTGGCATTTTCTTTGCTTATTTTCCTGACTTGCTTCAAAATGACTGCATTCTTCCTTTCTTCTCCAAATCCAACTGTCCCCATATCTTCCAGCTCAACATCATCTGATAGTTCTTCTTCTTCTTTTCCCCTGCCACTTGTTGTACCCTTGACTCCACTCACCCTCCTACCTTTTTCTTTTGTACTGCTCTTCTTCTTCTCCCCGATAATCCTATCTTCTTCTCTATTGCCACTGCTTTGTCCATTCCCTGACCTGAGCCTTCTATTCATCACAAATATAGGAAATTCTCAATTTCCTCATCAGTAGCCACCAACTTTGCCCATTCAAACTGCAATGAAACATGGAATAGAAGCAAGTTATATACTATTCATTTCATACCATATATATATATATATATATACAAAACATACGAATCAACTTACATCCTCATTGCAGAAAATAATTTTACTGAAAACATCCAGTGAAGGTTTTTTTTGTAAATGACCACTTGATAGCCCTTGGAATGCATCTTTCTTCACCTTCCTTGATATTGCAAATTCCAGCCTTTTGTAGACCTGGGAAAGTTTCAAACTCCCAAACTTGAAGAGCAATCAAACACCCTGGGAGCGTTGCACGATTCCCTTTGCAATTCTTCAGGCTATCTATATTGTTTGTCATGTTTTTAAGTAGCTCAGTCCACACATCATCACCCCACGAGTACTCATTAAAGGCATCCAAGTCTTCCACCAAGTTTGCATACGCCGCTGGTAACTCCCGACCCACCTGATCTCCAAACAATCCATGTGACAGCACATGCAGAAGCGCAAGTTTCACGCCATCTTCCGCCTGTGCTTCAGGGTTATCACTGTTATACTTCATCAATGCATCCAACACATCACTTCTTCTTACACTTTTTGCACTTCCAAAGTACGTTTGCCATATATGTCCTCTCAACTGCTCCTCTATCTGAGGCTTTTGTCCACCCATTTTCAAACCTAACAATAAACAAAGATCTTTTTTCCAGAAGCTTATCACGCTATTTTGAATATGGAAACGAATGACATCGTTCTCCTTCACTTTGTTCACAGTTTTCACGTAGTTGCATAGCAATCCCAGTTGCATTTGCCCGCTTACTACTTCCATTGATTCTGTGTGCAGTACCCACCCAAAAACTGTGTTGCTGAACACCTTCAATTCTTCTTCTTTCAATTGGTTCTTGATCCTCTGCACGGCCTTGCTTAAACGACAATAACAATTAATCCTCATGCTATCCAAATTCTCGAGTTCTTTCTGCCCAAATGCTCTTCCAATAACCTATTATAGCAATTCAAAATTCTTAATATTCATCACATATTTTCAAACAATTGCACTACTTACTGCCTATCATGTGAAGCACAAATTATTGCAATTGCTATACGCATAAAAAGGAAGAAACTTTCTAAATTGTATGGAATAAAATGGGGTGGAATTGATGGAATAATATCCTAAAATGTATGATGGTGAGATGAATGTGATTTGCAATAAGTAGGAATCAGATGGTAGAAAAATTTGATGTGAAGGAGGAAGAATTTTCCTAAATTGAATGGAATAAACTCGGCGTGGAATTTATGTTGGCATGGAATAAATGCCTTACAAATGGAAGAACAGTTCTAATGGAAAGTTGGTTGCATGGAATAAATTGAGAATGTCAAACCATCATTCTTCCCAATTTTACACAATAACAATTCCAACTCACTCCATGCAGTCCAGTCTTCCTTTAAACCTTTCTTCCATTTTTTGGCATTTCATTCCATCCCAACAAAAATTCCAACCCCGTTTTATTCCATATAATCTTGGAAGTTTCTTCCTCCCTCACATTAGATTTCTCTACAATCTACAATTTTGGAAGTTTCAGGCGCATTTAAACATCACTCTTCCCACTTTTACACATCTCACATTCTCAATTTATTCCATTCAACCTACTCTACATTACAACCGTTCTTCCATTTGTTAGGCATTTATTCCATCCTAACATGACTTCCAAGCCCCACTTTATTCCATACAATTTAGGAAGTTTCTTCCTCCAATTTATTCCATACAATCCACTCTCACTAAACACAGTGCTTCCATGTTTAGGTAATTATTTAATTCCAACATACATTACACCCTCAATTTAATCCACACATTTTGAAGTTTCTACCATCTTTGTAATTGCTATTGTGCCTAATTTACACCAATATTCCATCCCAGCATACATTCCACAATCAACAATGGACACTGGACACTAACTGTTCGCACAAGTAAGGCTTAAGAAAAAGTAAAACAAACTAACCATTTCATCGTTGATGCGTATTGTCAGCGGACCAGGTTTGCAACTCTGGAAGTCGTCGTCTTCCATCTTCACTGCTGCTTTTCTTCCTCTATCGCTCTTCTTCACTTTTGCGCTTTCGTTTTTCTCCATCTTCCCACAACCAGCGTTTGTTTTTTTAATTTCTCCTTTTTTACTTGAATACCGTAACTTCCGCCGTCCCACGTCTGGCACAATAAATGTTCGGTTTTCTTCCATATCGAATCTCTAAATTTCCGGCGCTCAGGGCTTATTTTTGGAATTCCGATGTTCACGCTTCAATCGCAACTGATGGGGCTTAATGGGACGCTGGGTATTTTTGTCAAATCGGGATAAAAATACTCCTACGAAAAATACCCGAGTCTTATACTCCTATTTTGGCAAATTCACAACTCATTACTCCTATTTTTATCCAGTCAAGCATTCACTGACTTAGTCCCATAGAGGGATAGAAATGTTGATAACTACGTAGCATTAATTAGTGTTAGAGGGATAGAGTTATGTTGTTGATATTGATAAAGTGATAATAATATAAAAATGAATTAGAGCTACACAAATATTGAGACAATTCGGTTTACAATGCTTGACCAATCATAAAGCAAACAGACATGTCCGCTCTCAAATTATTTTTAGAAAAAAAATTTACATATTCAAAAACTACATTAAAAACTTTACAAAGTCACAAAAAATGAATCAAATTTGATACATAAAGTAAGAGATTAAAAATGATTTGTGCTGACCAAGTGAATAGTGTCTGAGACAAATTTTAGCGGGACAGAAGGAGTATCAAATATTGTATGAGACAAATTTAATGGGACGAACAGAAAATAAAAAATTAAACAATTATAGTGGGACGGAAGGAGTTCCATTTAGGTATTAATTTTCATTACTCATTATTATTTATTTATCACTCTATGGGTCCTTATTTCAATAAATATTTTTAGTTTCTCATGTTATTTGTTGATTTCTTATTATGTTAATCGTTCTGTTTTTTCTTGATGTTGGTACAATAGTATATAAAGGTGAGGATGTGCTTGTATATAATTTTATTAACTGGGATATCTTTATTTTTTAGAGCTTTGTGAATAATGATGCATATGTGAATACAAATATCTGAAATGAGAATGTACATAATGTATTATGAGAAATATATGTAATCTACTCACTAATTAAACGGAAAATTTCCCTAAATAGGAGTAAATGAACTTTGTAATTTACATACGGAGTAACTCTGTAACTTTTATTGCACATATTATGTGTTTTAGTCGAATTATTTTTTTCATTATCGTTACAATCGTTTATATCATTTTTATCCAGAAAATATACTAATACTAAAAAATGTCGATCTGAAAAGTTGGTGTTATATCTTGTCTAGGGCCTCAAAAACTCTCTAGCCGGCCCTGGTTTTACTTGGACTGTTTGCAGTCCCAGACCTGACCTGACCAGACTTAAACAGACTAGACTAGACTTAAACAGACCAGACCAGACCAGACTTAAACAGACCAGACCAAACCAAACTTAAACAGACCAGATCAGACCAGACTTGACTTCTGTAGTTATAAAATACATAGAGACCAGACGTTTACCAGACTTAAATAGACCCAGATCAGACTTAAACAGACCAGACCAGACCATTGAATTACAGTCCAAGTAAGAACATCCTCAGTTCCATTTTGAGAATAAAAACATGATAATCCCATTTTGGAATATACAAACATTTTTAGTCCTATTTAGGGTAATTTTCTTATAAAATGCAAATAGACTAGACATTTACCAGACCAGAGTTAAACAAACAAGACCATACCAGAAAATTTCAATCTAATTAAAACATCCTAACACTTATACTCTTTCCATCCCAAAAACTTTGTCATCTTTCCCTTTTTAGCTATCCTAAGAACTTTGCAATTTTTCCTTAAAAAAAAGGAAATTGTGGTTTCTATTATTTTTCTCTCCTCTACACAAGTCACACAGTTTTTTGACTTTATTATTTCTCGTGCTCACAAAATTTTGATCTTAGGAGGGATTATATTCATTTGGCTAATATGCCTTATTTCATTCAATTTCAAATGTGCTCAAAACAAGAGTAAGTATAAGCAAAGCTCTAAAATAAGATTACATATATTTTTTCTCAAAATATGACTTATGAAATCATAATAGAAGAATAAAAATTTCGATTTTGACAAGAAATTTATAGTATTCTTATTTGAGAAAGTTGGTAATGTTTTACTCATATTTAGGGAATTTTCTCATATTAATTTCATATTGAGATCTGCATGCTGGTGGGTACTTGACTGAGGTGAAGAGAAGCCACATCCAAAAAATACTCATTTCAATTCTCAAAAAGTAAAGAGAATGATAATTTGATGAAGACATATAGTTTTTTCTTGAATAATGCGAATTAAAAAAATATTTACGCAAATAGGGTCAGTTAAAACTATTTACTGATCTAATGTTGGGCTAACCTTAGTTAAGCAGAATCGCCAACTCAGATGGCGACTTCAAAGTCGCCAAACCGGCTGGTGAATTTCTTATTAAAATCCCCCCCACCAACGACATCAGCATTGGCAGAATAGAACCCAAATCCCAAAATCCTTCCGCAACAGCGAACGACTGTCGATTGCACTCCGATTGGTGACAACGAACAAAGTGGCCATCTTCTCTAATTCCGGCTTCCAAAATTCCATCTTCTTCAAGGCTATCTCCTCAAGGTAACTCTAAAGACCAATTTCATCTCCTAAACCCAAGTTAAAGTTTGTTTGTAGATAAGGTTTAATTTAGGAATTCAAATGTATGATTTTTTGTGTTGCTCGTGATGTTTGCTTTTAAATTAATATATATGTGTTGCCAAGTGTAATGATAATGAACAAAAATATTGCTCAAATATTATTACATTTTATTTGTATAATTCATTGTGTGTATATAATGTTTGGGTATTTAATATGTGTATATATGTGTGTGAAGTTTGGGTATATAATATGTGTATATATATGTGTGATTACTTATCATGTATATGTATTGTTGTTATAATATGAATGTTTCGAACTTCCCAATAGTTTGTTATTGGAGGGGAGAAGTCATTGAGGAAGCAGGTGGAATACATTATGAAGGGGGTCAACAACGGATTGTCGTGGTGCATGTATGCGAGAATTGATGAAAAAAATACATGTAGCTACACATATTCCGTAAAACAATTCTTTGGAAGTGAAAGTTAAATATCCCCTTTACGGGAGATCATACATGATGAAGAAGCTTTCACGAGAATGTGGACATTAGTCTTGAACGTGACTATGCCCACAATGGAGATATACATCGAAGAATCAAGTTTAGACGCTACTAACTCCCTCAACAACAATTCCTGTTGTATCTGGGCATGGTGTTCATGCAGCGGCCTCCGCAAATGAGACTGTTTTGAACACGGTTGTGGAGGGGGGTGGGAGGTATTTGCACAATGGTGCCTCATTTCTGGATGGCCATGGGAATGATGATGATGCAGATTAATACGCGAATGATGATGAAATGACAGAATCGGATGAAGAGGAGGGTGATATTGTGAACACAACTGCCCCGTCTAGTAACTTTACTACAGTATATGATATCTCATCCGGCTTTAGTGATGCGTGGAGTGGTACAACTGTAAACAGGTTCACCTAGATGGTGAATTTGAGGTTGGTCAACGGTTTGATAACAAGCAACCACTCATCAATACGGTGAGCTTGTATTCTATCAAACACTATCAATTTTTCATGTGCTGGAGTCAGATAAACATAAATGAGTTGTTGAGTGTAAAAGAAAAAAAGAACATGATTGCACTTGGAGAATACGAGCCACCAAAAAGCCTTGAGATGTTCATTGTTGTGCGTTATGTTAGACCTCATTGTGGCAATTGTGTTGGCGACAATGATTGTGATGATCATGTGGCTATTATTTCTGACTTTATTGCTCGAGATGTAACTGACCTTCTTCTCACTGATTCATCACTTAAAGTTCACACCATTATTGAGTTGATGAAGGAAAAATATGGTTATAATGTATCCTACATGCGAACATGGTTGGGCAAGCAAAAGGCCATTGCGGAAATTTTTTGAAGTTAGGAGAAGTCATATTCAGAATTGTCCCATTTCATGGCAGCGCTCCAACATTCCAATCCGGGGACAATTGTGCACTGGTACCACCCTTTAGATGTCCCGCTGAGTGTGTCCATTTTCATAGTCTTTTGGACATTCAAGCCTTCTATTAGTGGGTCTAAGCAATGTCGACCAGTATTGACTATTGATGGGACACACTTGTATGAGAAGTACAAGGGTACATTACTCATGACTATGGGTAATGATGCAAACAATCAACTCTTTCCTTTGGCGTTTGCAACAGTTGAATCAGAAAATGGGGAGAGTTGGCCATTGTTTATGGCCTGCATTCAGACGTTTTTCACAAAAAGAGAATATGTATTATTTCTTGTTGGTCCCAGTTTAGCAGACTAACGATCAGCTAGATGAACATCATCGATAGACAGAAGAGAAGGA